TTCTAGTTTCATGACAATAACTTGTGTGTAAGTCTATGGATCTCTCTGACATTGTATCACATGGTTCCATATCACAAAGGGAATGCTGGGATTGATTTTGGGGGTAATTGCCTCCAAATTTTAGGAATTAGGGGCCAAAAAGGGGCAAAAAACAAGCATTTTTCTAGTTTCATGGCAATAACTTGTGTGTAAGTGTATGGATCTTTATCAAATTGTACTACAAGGTTCCATATCACAAGGGAAAGCTGGGTTTGAGTTTGGGGGTAATTGCCCTAAACGTTTAGGAATTTGGGACCAAAAAGGGGCCAAAAAACAAGCATTTTTCTAGTTTCCAGACAATAACTTGTGTTCAAGTGTATGGATCTCTCTGAAATTGTACTGCAAGGTACCATACCACAAAGTGAAGGCTGGGATTGAGTTTTGGGGTGATGAATCATAAGGGGGTTCAAAAAATTTGGGGGGGGGGATTCTTTTTCCTTTTTTTCTTTAAAATTTTCCATTTTAAATTGGTTATTTCTGATTTATATATAAAAGCAAATAATAATGATATGGTTTGAATAGGTAAATTAAATTTTTTTAAGTATCTTAGACCACTTTCATTCTGTGTCAGAAACCTATGCTGTGTCAAATATTTAATTACAATCCAAATTCAGTGCTGAATCAAGCTTGAATGTTGTGTTCATACTTGCCCCAACTGTTCAGGGTTCGACCTCTGCGGTCGTATCAAGCTGCGCCCCAGCGGAGCATTTTATTTCATTCATAAATTACTTTATGCTTGGAAATATAATTTTGCTTGGAGTTGAAAGAGTTGACACGTTGCAATGTACATTTACTCTACATAGTTCTATGGTACCAAATCAAAAGATTATATAAAGAAAGAAGTCAAAGGTTTCCCATCATAGTTTAGTTACATACATTTTTTTTGTACCTGAGGTCGTTGAATATAGATCATTATATAAATAAGGAGATGTGTTATGATTGCCAATGAAAAAACTAAGGATTTTCTTATCCAAGGAATAGATTACCTTAGCCGTATTTGGCACAACTTTTTGTAATTTTGGGTCCTCAATGCTCTTCAACTTTGATCTGAACGTCACTGATGAGTCTTATGTAGACGAAACTCACGTCTGGCGTATTAAATTATAATCCTGGTACCTTTGATAACTAATTTGACTATAAACATAGATAAAAAAGGTACAAACTGGACATAATGCACTAGTTCATAAACAAGTGAGAACAATCGCCTTCATATAGTGCTCAGAATATGACATTCATAAAACTTATTCAATATCATTAGAGAACTCTAAATCTTAAATACTGAAAGCTACCTGTACTATGCAAGATAATGATATAACTGGACTTAAAATACACACAACCTGTAATTAACTGCCTTTACAGCGCTTTCGTGCTTTGATTCTTTTTTCCAATCATATTGTGCTTAATATTGTTGTTAATGATGCCCTTTATGGGTTCTTGATTAGATTACAGCAGATTCCATTGAGTGTGTAGCCAAAGGTAATATCTAAACTACCCTACTTTAAGAATAGACTTGTCCGACAGAAAACCAATCGATCTGTCTGTTGGACTATGCTACTTCGAAAGGAGGGTAGTAGACCTGACCTAATAATGACTTCACGGTTCAGCTAACAAGCAAGCTAACCAAAGATATTACCTTTGGCTACACACTCAATGGAATCTGCTGTAATAAAATTCTTATCTTATCTTAAAAAAAAAAAAAAAAAAAAAAAAAATTGTGAAATAGTAGATACTGCCTCTTTCACGTGTCTTTGAACAGACTATTTTAAGAAAAAGGAAACGTCTTTGAAATATTGAAAATATAAAAAATTGCCATGGAAGACCTCAGTGCTCTTTATTTTTTAATTTTTCTACTCATAGAAAAGCTTTTTGTATAACTAAATCTTAAACTTAACAATGAATGATGTTATATTTTGTTAGATTTATGCCCTTGAAAATTTATAGAAAAAAATGCTAGAATTGCCTTGAAAGCAGCTCTATTTTGTCATGTTTGTATTTGTAAAGCAACAACTAAGCAACCATATGTTTATGGGATAAGAACAATATAAGTTAGTTGATAGAAAGATAATGTTGGAAAAAACCTTTAATTCACTCTCAGAGCATCTGCTATTTTGAAACACTTACCTAAAATATATTAATGGAATTAGAAGAAAAACAGGTATTTTATGGAACAGTCTGATTCTGGATGATTGACATTCCAATCTAGTCAATTTCAGACCTATTATTTTTATGCCCCTGCCATCACCAGAGGGGGCATTAAATGTTACCCTTGTCTGTCCGTTTTTATACGACCGCAAAAATTAAAAAAAATTTCGTCGTATATTGGTATGACGTTGGCGTCGTCGTTGTCATCGTCTGGCGTAAATTTTACCATAAGGTTCAATACCACAAAAGGAAGGTTGGGATTGATTTTGGGGGTTATGGTACCAACAGTTAAGGAATTAGGGGCCAAAAAGGGGCCAAAATAAGCATCACAAAGGGAAAGCTGGAATTGAGTTTGGGGGTAATTGCCCGAAACGTTTAGGAATTGGGGGCCAAAAAGGGGCCAAAAATAAGCATTTTTTCTAGTTTCCAGACAATAACTTGTGTTCAAGTGTATGGATCTCTCTGAAATTGTACTGCAAGGTACCATACCACAAAGGGAAGGCTGGGATTGAGTTTGGGGGTGATGAATCATAAGGGGTTCAAAAAATTTGGGGGGGGGGGGATTTTTTTTTTTTCTTTTTTTCCTTTTTTTTTTCTTTTAAAATTTTCCATTTTAAGTTGGTTATTTCTGATTTATATTTAAAAGCAAATAATAATGATATGGTAGGAGATACACACCAAACAGGATGTGTAAATTATTATATAATAAGTATTGTGCAATAGCAAGAAATTTTCAATTGCACAGTATTGCACAATAGCAAGAAATCTTCAATTGCACAGTATTGCGCAATAGCAAGAAATCTTCAATTGCACAGTATTGCGCAATAGCAAGAAATATCCAATAGCACAATATTGCGTAATAGCAAGAAATTGTCAATTGTACAGTATATTGCAATAGCAAGAAATATACAATTGCACAGTATTGTGCAAAAGAAGATACTACGTATAAATTGCTTATTTCTTGATCAATTTCAATGGGGTTTTATTCTTGAATTCTTGGGGTTCTTTAATATGCTGAATCTAACCGTGTATTAAGTTTTTGGATTTTGGGCCCCATTTTTAAATTGGTCCACATTGAGGTCCAAAGGGTCCAAAATTTAACTTTGTTTGATTTCATCAAAAATTGAATTATTGGGTTCTTTGATATGCCGAATCAAACAGTGTATTTAGATTCTTAATTTTTGGTTCCGTTTTCAAATTGGTCTACATTAAGGTCCAAAGGGTCCAAAATTAAACTTAGTTTGATTTTAACAAAAATTGAATTTTTAGGGTTCTTTGATATGCTGAATCTAAACATGAATTTAGATTTTTGATTATGGGCCCAGTATTCAAGTTGGTCCAAATCGGGGTCCAAAACTAAACTTTGTTCGATTTCAACAAAAATTGAATATATGGGGTTCTTTGATATGCTGAATCTAACCATGTATTTAGATTTTTGATTTTTGGGCCCCGTTATCAACTTTGTCCACATTGAGGTCAAAAGGGTCCAAAATTAAACTTTGTTTGATTTCATCAAAAATTGAATTCTTGGGGTTCTTTGATATGCTGAATCTAACCATGTATTTAGATTTTGGATATTGGACCATAATAGGTGAATGTCCAATTTAAAATTTTTAAGTTCTTAGACCACATTCATTCTGTGTCAGAAACCTATGCTGTGTCAAATATTTAATCACAATCCAAATTCAGAGCTGTATCAAGCTTGAATGTTGTGTCCATACTTGCCCCAACTGTTCAGGGTTCGACCTCTGCGGTCGTATCAAGCTGCGCCCTGCGGAGCATTTTATTACATCTGTTCGTACGTCTGTGCATACGTACGTCCCAAAATTGGTTTCCATTCTCTAACTTTAGTTTGCCTCAACCAAATGTTATGAAACTTTAACACAATGCTTTACCACAAAACACAGATCAAGTTTGAATTTGTGTGACGTCACATCTACCATTCTGGAGTTGTGTTTCTGTTCTCTTAACTTTAGTTTGCCTCAATCAAATGTTATGAAACTTATGCACAATAAAATTGAGAATGGAAATGGGGAATATGTCAAAGAGACAACAACCCAACCAAAGAGCAGACAATAGCCGAAGGCCACCAATGGGTCTTCAACGCAGCGAGAAAATCCCGCACCCGGAGGTGGTCCTCAGCTAGCCCCTAAATAAAATTGTGTACTAGTTCAGTGAAAATGGACGTCACATTAAACTCCAAAACATATAAATGAACTAAAATTAAAAAACATACAAGACTAACAAAGGAAAGAGGCTCCTGACTTGGGACAGGTGCAAAAATGCAGCGGGGTTAAACATGTTTTGTGAGCTCTCAACCCTCCCCTATACCTTTAGCCAATGTAGGATAAAGAAAAACATAGCAATACGCACAGTTAAACTCAGTTAAAAAGAAGTCCGAGTCCAATGTCAGAATAGGTAACAAAAGAAACTAAGCAAAATGACAATGATACATAAATGAACAAAGGACTACTAGCAGTTACTGACATGCCAGCTCCAGACCTCAATTAAACTGATTGAAAGATTATGTCTTCATCATATGAAAATCAATGCTCCAATGCTCATTACCACATAACTCAGATCAAGTTCGAATTTGGGTGGTGTCACTTTTACCGTTCTCAAGTTATGTCTCTTTATAACACTATATGCAAGGGGGCATCATCTGTGTCCCATGGACACATTCTCCATTTATTTATGATTTAGATAACGAAAAAAGGTATTTAAATGTTTTATAATATGAGTAGCAAGTATGAAATGCTAAATCTGTTTCATGACATAAGTTATGTTTGTTAATAATATGACTTTATTAATAATTTCAGGTATCCCCATCCATATCAACATGAACTTGCCCATCTGAAGCCTTTACAGAAATCTCTCAATGTGTCATCGCCTACGGTAAATATATCTTTACCGTTCTGGAATTGGAGAAGAAAAAAATTGTCATTGAAAACTATTCAACACATTTTTATAATTGACAGTTCGATTATTGGACGCCATTATGTTGACTATTATGCATACCATTCAAGTAATTAAATGCTTAATTAATTGTCAAACCGCTAGCATATTTATTTTTTTTAATGTTTTAGGAAATATAATTCACCATGATCACTGTTGTCATTGTAGGACCCTAAGCCTTTAGGTGAAACAGAATGTACAATCGTTACAAAGCTTGAAGAACTTAAACATTTGTGTAACACACTGAAGACACAAGAAGAAATAGCCATTGATTTAGAGGTAATTAATAAGAACACAAATTGAGACATTAGACCGTAAACAATTTTTATGGAATCATTTGGCGTACAACAGAATAATGCAAAGCAGTTGATGCACGAGGTCAAAAGTAAAAAAAAACTTTCCAATTCACAAACGCACAATTGGGAAACATAACTTATGCGATCTTGTCGCCCATCTTTCAAGCAGACAGTTTACCCTTCAAAACGCTAAGTTGATTGATAACTCCAGAGAGTTCCAGGAAGACTTCTGGTAACATCTGAACCAATGTCGGAATGGAAACGAATTATTTTCGGAAATAAAAAAAAAAGTGGATTTTTTTGGGGGCAGGTAATTTTTTGGCTTGGAGGCTTAGGGATCATAGATTTATTCTTAAGAGCATGCTCGGAGGATGCTCGGAGCTTTTTAAGTAGGCTCTTCTCTTCAGTTAATGTGACAATAATTATCATGATCCATTAAGATGTCAATCAAATCTACACCACTTCTATGATAAGGAAAGTAGAGCATTATAGAGGAAGCTCCATAAACACCTGTGTAAACATCTGGTCTATGCAAATACATTTTGCATGAAATTTTACAAAACTATAAAATAGATTAGAAATTCTTCAACAGTGCTGTGTAATGCTTGGAAAGAAATCTGAAGTCTCCAAAAAAAGTAAAAGTCATTTCAATATTTTCTTATTATATTTAATAATCATTCCATTTTTTATAATAAAAAAATTCTCAAATTTAATAATTAGATGATATGATTTAAAAATAGTTTATATTATATAATATGCTACATAAAAGTTATCAAGACACAAACAACAGTCAGGTGGCAATACTAAACAAGTAATTTTTTTAGTCACTTTTATAAGTATTTTTTAGTTTTAAAAATTATTTAATAACTCAATAGTTATTTTAAATGTCAAATAAAGCATGGACTAAATGTAGTTTTTAAGAATTTTTATATCATTTCATTAAATAAAATTAAGTATTTATCCAATTTTAGATGAGTATAGAGAGGTTACTTTAAAAAATAATGACAAAAATATTACTTTAATAAATTATTTTATACAACTTCAAAAAACTTAGTACTTACAATTATTTAAGGAATATATGTAATTGCTTTTGATCAAGATTCAAATTATAAATAACTTCAAGTCTTAAATAAAGGTCCATATCTAGTTATAACTGTCTATCTCTAAGATTTTAAGGGGAAATGATATTTTAATAGCACCAAGAGGCCAACCTTTGACCAAGAAGTGTGGCATCAGAAAAGCAATTAGTGCTTGTTGAGGATTTAAATAGTTTTACCAGTATATTTCATGGGGAAAATAACCAGATGTCTGTGAAAATGTGTTAAAGCTAGTAAAACCTGTATGAATGGACACCTTTAAAAATAATATAAACAGAAGTTACTTATTTATGATATAGAAGTAATATTTGAAACAGCCTCATTTTCAACATAACTTGTATAGGTAATTTTGAAAATTACTTGTTTAAGTAATGCCCCTAACTAAACAATGGTAGTATGTTTTTTTAAATAGCAAACTAAGTTATTTTATTGAAAATTATGGCTACTTTAAGAAAAGTTGTAATTCATTAGTGGAAGCCTGGTTTGAGGGGGTAATACCACCATTATTTTCTCTCTAGTACGTCTCTCTTTACTTGGCATTTTTTTTTTTAATTGTGCAGATTAAGCTTTGTTTTAAATAAAGAAATACTTGGCATGAGTAAGATTATTTTCCCCCTATAAGTCTTTGTTTAATTGTCATGATTGTTATATTTCAAAAAAAATGTGCAGAATTTATCTATGTTTTAAATAAATAAATACTTGACATAAATAAATGTCCTGTACTACAGTGAAAATATAGCATAACTTTTCAGTGCATATAAGAAAGTAAACATCACCAGAAGTTAACCAATCAAATTCTCTCCCCCTTTTTTCCCTGTAGAATATAGTATATTTTTATTGCTTTGAACCACCTAAGAAACATGTTTACAACTCAAAAAAACTTTTCTGCAATGAAATGGAAGGTTAATTTCAATCAACTGTCAAATTAAACGGAATATAAAAAAAGATCAACCCTTTTTCGCATGAAACTGAGTGTACTATGTTTTGGTAGTATGGTTATAAATCAATAACCATTAAGTTTGTGTCTTTGATGACTTATTTCATTTAATATAGTATAAATTTGAAATATATTTATATTTCAATTATAAAATTTGAGTGTTTTTTTGTATCATGTGTATTGAAAAAGAATGATAATTATTAAGAAAATGTTTTAAAATCATTTTCTTTCTGTGAAGACTTGATACCAAGCATTGTACTGTAATATTGAAGAATTTCTCATCTATTTTATAGTTTTGTAAAATTAATGCAAGATTTGTTTGAATAGACCAGATGTTTACACAGGTGTTAATGGAGCTTCCTCTATAATGCTCTACTTTCCTTATTGTAAAAGTGCTATAGATTTGATTGACATCTTAATGGATCATGATAATTATTGTCACATAAACTGCTGAGAAGAGCCTACATAAAAAGCTCCGAGCATCCTCAGAGCATGCTCAGAGCTTCCTCATAAGAATAAATCTATGATCCCTTATTTTTGACCTGGTCGGGGCGAGGGGAAACAAACATGTTTTTTATTTTTGGCCTAAAACAAATTTATTAGTTTGGCAACATTTAATGTATACAGTGATCGGGAAGGACGTGCGCCTTGCGCCTATTGCGCTTATCGACCAGAAATGGCGCATAGATTGACAAATGTAAGCGCCCGCGTGGCGCATGATATTTTTCACTTCGTTTTGAAACGTTGAGATATCGTCAAATGGATTTCCGATCGTATTTCGTGCCGCCATTTGTGAGTACACAACTGTGTAGTGTTTACTCCAATGATAGGAGCACCTATATATTTTTGGGACGTCTCGGGTGTCTTCCTATGGTAATAATAGCAACATGCGGTATGACTGATTACCCAAAAAACGTAATTAACCATCATTCATGATATAATTTTTTATAAACAACTTTAAATTTGTGAAAATTGGCTAGTACAGGCGAGAATTCTTCTCTAATTATAATCTTTTAAGTAAGCTTGCTATTATTTCGATTGAAAAACCCAAAAGCCTTTTTATGAATAGCATAGTATTTGTCTCCATAAAAGGGGCTTAACTGTCCTTGTCATTTTTTTTGGTCTTTGGCTCGTTTTGACATTTTGTAAACATGCCTTCAGCGAATTGTTGTTGTGTCTTATCAATTAACGTTGCTCTCTACTGTTATTCTTGTCATCGTGATGAAGTAATAATAATACAAGTGCAGAGGAAATGCCAGAAACTTCCTCTAATACTGGAATAAGTATGGTATCGACGAAGACCCAAATTTAATGTAAAAAAAAAACATGAACATCAACAACATGAACAAGGGAACAGTACCAGTTTTAACATTGTAAATAAAGGTTATCGTAAATATTGCCCGGTTTGGAAGAAGTTATTGTATATTCATTGAAATTGAAATTACAAAATCACAGGAACAATATCCATGATATTAGTTAGAATCATACTTGTAAGTACAGTGAAATATACACTTTTTTATTTTTTGTTTTTATTGTAAACGAATGGCCCACTCATTTGACAACATGGCCCATTAATTCTAAAAATGGCCCATTGAATTTATTTTTGGGGGGCCCTGGGCCCATAGAGAAAAAATCCTTCCAGATCACTGTGTATATTTTCTAGATTTGCCTTTATCAGAATGCTCCCATAGCCAAAGGTTGGGAACATACGTTTTGCTTGCATATATGTATTATTTGATAAACACCATTGATAGGAAATTTCAGAAGATAGACAAAACCTTGTTATTTCAAGTAATAAACCAATAAATACAAGAAAGTGTTTGCTTCCATCACATTGCTTTGATAAACAGTTTGTTTGTTGAAGAATTCTTTCAAAAAGGACAGACATGAAATTGTCTGATTTTCAACTGCAAAATGTCATTACATGGAAGAAAAGAATGAATATGGTGCATCAATTCATGACACAAAATAGCAGCATGAAAATGAAAATACTAAAAGCAAAGGAACAAGGCTTTATTTTCTGTTTATCTCAAGTCACGGCGAGACCTTCAACTTGGATCAAAAACTTTCACTGAACATGAATTGAATTTATCATTTTGTAGATTCAAGACTTTATATGAAAACACTTTTTAGCAATAAGAGCTTACACATTTATCATGTTTATAAAGATTTGGAAGAAAAATAGTTTTACATCTCAATGAAACTAAACAAAAGGGAGCTCTCTGAAGTTCATTTTGCATATTTACATTCTCAATACATCTTATAAACTGAGTTATTGTTTATTTCAGCACCATTCGTACAGATCATTCCAAGGATTGACATGTCTGATGCAGATCTCTACCAGAACGAATGACTATATTATAGACACATTAGAACTTAGGAATGAACTTCATTTACTGAATGTGGTTTTTACCGATCCCTGTATACTAAAGGTACTATTATAAACTATTTTCAATGTTGATAGCTAATTTTCTTTAAATAGGCCATTTAATTTGCATTATTCATTATCCTGTCATTTATATCCATTCTGGTTCAGATTTGGTAAAATATCAGTTCTTTTATTAGAACAACAAAAACATTAATTTTCCTTACAAATAGATTACTATAAAACGGAGGCAATTAAGATACAAACAATATTTAAATGTTTTGACATCCAAAAAATCCAAAATGCACTACTGTCAAAAAAATGAGTGCAAAATGAAATAAAGTTCTCTTTAAGTATTCTTCCTTGTTGTTTCATTTTGAAAGTATAGGGTCCCTTTTGCAATTAATTTAGTTTTAGAAGAACATTGTATAAACTATGAAACAATGCTAATATGTGTTTTAGGTGTTACATGGTGCAGATATGGACATTGGCTGGTTGCAAAGAGATTTGGGGTTATACATTATCAACATGTTTGATACAGGACAGGCTGCCAGAGTGTTGAATATGGCACGGCATTCCCTGGCACATTTGTTACAAGTATATTGCCAGGTAGAGGCTGATAAGCAGTATCAGTTAGCTGATTGGAGAATCAGGTAATTCCTGAATATTATATACCACAACTCTCACAGAAAATCCAATTGTCTGTTTGTTTTGTCAGCATTATTTCTTGTGAAGTGAAATATGCATGATTGCAGTTAAACAAAGGGTATACAATTCAGTGTTCATGAGAGTAGGTAATTCTTCTCTGAAAATTCATAAAGTAATTCCACAGAAGATATGCATTACCATACATTTATGTTGTTTTATTATTAAAGCATACCCTAAAGAATTTATCAACTATATCAGGGAAAACAGACATTGTTTGTTTTGTTTTTTTTACCTCCCTGAAGAATTAATAAGAAAATGCCAGATTTTTGCAGTATCTGTGTCATGTTTATTTTTAGACCCTCTGTAGAGAACAAGAAAGTGAGTTAAAGAAGAAACACATTATTTATTTCAATAGGAACAATGCTAAAATTTTTGTCAGCAATCAACTTTTTATGATTAAATCAGTGTTTATATATATTGAACAGATTGAAAATATATTATTGATATGAATAAATACATCATCACTTGTAGTTTTGTGAGTTGAAAAATATATTTTCATCTACAAGGAAGATTTTTTTTTTACTTTGGTGAATTAATTAATGAGTGATAGATTTCTGTTAGAAGAAATTTAAAGATCCAAGTGAATAAACTACGGAGAACAGTAGCTATTGTATTTATTCAATGGGAAAATAGAACTGACAAAATTTTAAATAGATTGACCAATAGGAAATTGTTCTGTGGAAAAGTTTCATTTGGTTAGCAATAAGTATACCAGACAGGACACACATTTTTTGCCATTTTCACCGAAGAATTAAGAAGGCAATACACATTTAGTATTATTATATCTATTTCATGTTTATTTACAGACCACTTCCTGAAGAATTAATCAAGTATGCCAGAGAAGACACACACTATTTACTGTATATCTATGACAGGATGAGAAATGAACTGATCGAGAGAGGAAATGAACAGAATAATCTTCTTCATTCTGTAATACAGAAGAGTACTCGAGTCTGTGCACAGGTCTGTAATAGTTTGATAGTAAACATATAGAGACTCAATAAAAGTTTCAAGGAATGAACCCTCATTATTAAGAAAACTGCATTTTTATGCCCCCGCCGTAGCGGTGGGGGCATTAAGTTTTACCCTTGTCCGTCTGTATGTACGTACGTCCCAAAATTGGTTTCCGTTCTCTAACTTGAGTTTGCCTCAACCAAATGTTATGAAACTTATACACAATGCTTATTACCACAAAACACAGATCAAGTTTGAATTTTGGTGGCGTCAGTGTAACCGTTCTAGAATTATGCCCCTTTATAAATGGAAAAATTGCAAAATATTTAGTTTCTGTTCTCTAATTTAAGTTTGCCTCAACCAAATGTTATGAAACTTATACACAATGCTTATTACCACACAACACAGATCAAGTTTGAATTTTGGTGGTGTCACTTTAACCGTTCTAGAGTTATGCCCCTTTATAAATGGACAAATTGCAAAAATTTTATTTTCTTTTAAATATCAAGTAATTTTTAAAATTGGAGTTATCTTCCTTTGTCCATGATTATAGTTGAATCAACTACAATCAATGCTTTATACAATGCAATGTTCAATTTTGACTTCCACTGATAAAACACAGATCAAGTTGAATTTGGGTAGTGTCACTTTAACCATTATTGCGTTTATATGCCCCTTTATAAATTGAAAGATTGCAAAATTTTTATTTTCCATTCTGTAACTTAAGTTTGCCCCAACCAAACATTATGAAACCTATACACAATATTCATTACCACAAAACTAAGATCAAGTACAAATTTTTTGTTTCCGTTTTCTAACTTTAGTTTGCTTCAACCAAATGTTGTGAAACTTATACACAATGCTTATTACTACATAATACAGATTAAGTACGAAATTTGGTGGGGCACTTTTACCATTCTTGAGTTATGTCCTTGTATAAACATGAAAATTGCTGAATTTTTCATTTCCGTTCTCAAACTTTAGTTTGTCTCAACCAGATGTTATAAAACATATACTCAACTGTTCTAGAGTTATGCGTGTTTACAAATAGAAAAATTGCTATCAGTCATGGTCTTTTGACTTTGAAACTATTGCTTAGTTTACATCTATTATTTTGTGATTAGATCAGTTTAAGATGAACTGCCAAATTGCTAATGTTAAGTCAATGATATTTGGTATGCAAATTTATTGGCATTTGCAAGTATCATTTCCATGGAGATTTTATAGCCCCACCCCCTCATCTTGGTTCATTGACTTAGAAACTTTTACATAGTTTGTGTTTGTTAAAAGGGAACGACTTATAATAAGTCAATGGTATTTGGTTTGCAGTTGTATTAGCATTGGCACATCTAATTTCCATGGAGATTGTTTAGCCATGTACCTTCAGTCATGGTTCATCGACTTTGAATATTTGCATAACTTACATGTTAAAGTATTGCTATTTTAATTTCAACATTTGCATTATCAAAATTACAAAAAGGTGAGACATATTTCTATGATAACAGTTTATTTATGATTTATGACTTAACTTGACCTTTGAAATTAACCATCCTTGTGAAAACACTGAAGGCAGATATATTAACTATTTGAACATATTTCATTCAGTTGTCTTTTGTGTATCATCAGAAAAGTAAAGCCCTCCCTTAAAAAAATGCCATTTGCTGGTACCCTCATATTTCAGTCTAAATTTTCATTCAAACTATTTAACTCTGCAATAAACAAATAGAAGAATACTATTCTATTGAATGTTACAAACTACCCTTTGAACCATGTGAAGCCTTATACCATACCAAAAATGGTGCTCATGAAAAAATGAGGCACACAGGTTAAGTGTAAATAATGAATTGGAAACACACATCATACATGTCTATATTGAAGTAAGATGGAAAGATATTTGTAAATATTGTAAACATGTTAAGTTAAGCGCCATGGTTATTCTTTGATTATTTCACCATTGCAAATACTTTGTACCAATCAACAATATTTTTTTCCATTTCATGAATTTAATCTCAAGGCAAAAAGTTTATGCATTGAAATTGTGAAAATATATTCTTTTACAGTATGTCATATGGAAGAAGTTTTCTAAATATTTCATTGTTTATAGGTATACAGAAAACCTATATACACAGATGGTTTATACATGGAATTATACAAGAAGAGTAAGAAAGTGTTTAACTCTAGACAATTAGCCGCATTGAAAAACTTATATTCATGGAGAGACAGAATAGCTAGAGTGGAGGATGAAAGTATAGGGTGAGAAATCTCATTCCAATTTGCTTCTTATTATCATATCAACTCTGGTATCATCTTGATACTTCAAACTGTGGCCTCTGTCCAAGGTCCAATTTAAAAAAAAATGAAACAGATTGCTGATATGAAAAACAACATATAATATATAAAAATAAGAAGATGTGGTTTGATCGCCAATAATACAACTCTCCACCAGGGACCAAATGACGTAGAAACTAGCAACTATAGATCACTGTACAGCCTTCAACAATAAGCAAAACCCATAACGCTTAGCAAGCTTTAAAAGGCCCTGAAACGACAAATGTAAAACAACTCAAATGTGAAAACTGACAGCCTGATCAAGTACAAAACAACAAACCAAAACCATTGAATATGATATACATCAACAAACAACAACCACTAGTCTATTTTTCACACATTTACAGTGTAACCTTATGTGTGATAATGAAGATTATGATCTAATTTATGAAGACATTTACTTCTATCCATTGAATGCAGACAGTGTGTTAATGGACCAATGATAGAAGTATACTACCACTTCATATGGACTTTGCTTCAAAAAAAAATCAACATGAATAGCTTCGCAATGAAGAGATCTTAGTGTGCCTTCTTTAAGTGTCTAATTGATAAAAAGATCATAACATGGGATTTTTCCAATCAAGTCAATTATCAACAAGGCCCATGGACTTTTAATGTAATATCAAGACCTTCAACGGATTGTAACATTATCTTATATCTGTTTCTTTTCAGCTATGTATTACCAAACCACATGTTATTACAAATAAGTGAAATTTTGCCTAGAGAGAGACAAGGTGTGCTTGCTTGCTGTAACCCTATACCTCCACTGGTCAGACAGTATCTGATAGAAATACATAATATTGTAATGGAAGCTAGAGAAGTACCTCTTACTACAGTAAGCATTTACCATATTACACATTCACTATTATATTTGGTCAGCAGCTTAACAGTGATGAGTTGCAAAGTGTGGAAGCTTATCGTATCTTTATGACACTTACTTCCAGGTTTCTGATACTTCGAATTATGATTGGGGGTATGTATGCTAAGCACGACAATGTGTGCATTGTTACTCCTCATGTCACTTTTACGACAATAAGAATTGTTCCAATGTTAGGGATACTAGTCTATTAAAAAAAGACCCCTTGGTCTTTAATATTTCCACTGGGTATGAGGCAAAAAAAATATGTTTGTTAAGGGTTTTCTTCCTTAAAATATGCAGTCTGTAGCAAGGGTCTGGAAACTGTCATATTTGCCAGTCATGACTTAAACTGAAAGCTATTTGTCCTAAATGTCAGACTGGGATTTAAGACAAATTTTATTTTTTTGACAGAAATAATTTCGGTCATTTCATTGAGATCGGGTTTCTATGCCATTATGCACTGGTTTTTGTTTTGTAATCCATTTCCTGTAATAAAACTGCCACTCCAGTGTAGTATGATAATCATGAGGGCCCTCCTAATAACCATATTAATGCCTTCGGGAAATATTGGCTAATGATCTCTAATCACTTTTTACCTTTGTTTTTTAATATGCACCTTACAGTGATCACAAGCTCAGAACTAAAATTTTAAAGAAATTAAAATTCCAGGACAATTTTCTTCGTCATTTTATTACTTTTGAGCAAAGATAATCAACAAATCTGATTTAAAACTGGATTTAATTTACGTAGAAAAAAGTAATTATTCATGGGTCAAACGTGTTTCATTTACTATATAATACGCATGAGTGAAATTGTCTTAACCAGATTGGACACTTATTCGTTAAATGCAAAATGATTTTATGCTAAATTAAACACTTTTAAAGATGATCAAATAAAAAATTCCCATGATTTCCTATCATTTGATAAACAGAAGAAATCCCGAAAATGAATCTGGAATTACCTGTACTTGAGTATTGTCGTAAAACTTCCAGTTTTAATTTGTCCTTTAAATAAAAAAAAACGAAAGCTATGTCTGAAAAATTTTCCATTAAAATCATTTCAATTTTGAACTGTTGCATTCCATTAACTGTTATTGAATGTTTAACTGTAAGGACATTCATGGAGTAAATGTGATGAAACAGTCAAAACAAGTTTGTTGATGCTATGAATCTAGTGTGAATAATTTCGAGTTTGAAAAAAGAGGCTCAAACTTTTTAAGTCATTTCAATTCAAATTTCCGGATCATTGGTCTTTAGGTTAGGATTATTTTCCTTACTAGCTTGAGGGGATGCTAAAGCAAACAACATTTAATCAATCAATCTTTATATCTTTGACCTTTGGTCTATATTTTTAGACAATTGTCTTATTGGCAATCATATTGAATCTTTTTTTAATTATGATAACCTCAAATTTTCATAAAAGATCTGAAATATTTGAATTCGTTCATTTTATTGAGTTTGACATTGGACTTTTATTTTTTTAAGTCCAGACAATACTATCTATTTGGAAACCTTTGGTAGCTCTACATGTTTAGCTGTCAGAACATCCAATTTCTCCTGTTAATAATATTTATGAAATATTCTTGAAATCAAATTACATTTTCAACCTACCTCAAAAGGGTAGAAGGTCTTTGCTATATATATATTTACCCTCACAAAGCAGCAGGGGCATTCATTTTCAGCTAAATAAGTCATATCCCATTGAAAAGATGAAGGATAAGGTGATATATCAAGCTACTTACTGTTACCTTATGAGCAAGCACATATCTAATGTGATTTAGATTGGAAGTTAAGAAATGATATATGATTGTCATACAAATGCATGATGCATATATAATACTGAATGTAAAACATTTTATCAATCAATTTGAACTGAGTGTATAAAAATAAATTAGTCCATCAAATATTTACACATATATATACTGTAAACCAAATTATTTTTTGTGGATACTTTATTTCGCGTTTCACTCTTTCTAGCCCACTTTGTGGCGATTAAAATTCACAATTTTCACATTTTATTGATGTATTTGAATAAGGAAAGATCCAAGTTTTACATATTGGTGACGATTTATATTCGCGCTATTTTTCTACTCACGAAAGTCTCGAAAATTAGTTGGTTTACAGTTTAAGAGTATGATGAAATGAAGAAAACAAAAGGATGAAGAATAAAAAAAAAAAAAAAGATTTTTCTACATATATTTTCAGGTCACAACACATAAAATCAAGGAACCTAGCATGTACAAGCATCCAAAATATAACCCAGATAGTCTTTTAAACTGTACACATGATATGTCATACCAACAGAAGTATCAAGATCTTGGTAACACACCATGCCTACTGGGTAAGTCTGACCTATACTCCCTTATATAACCCTGACAGTCTGTTAAACTGTACACATGATATGTCATACCAACAGAAGTATCAAGATCTTGGTAACACACCATGCTTACTGGGTAAATCTGACCAATACTCCCAAATATAACCCAGACAGTCTTTTAAACTGTACACATGATATGTCATACCAACAGAAGTATCAAGATCTGGGTAACACACCATGCTTACTGGGTAAGTCTCACCAATACTCCCTTATATAACCCAGACAGTCTGTTAAACTGTACACATGATATGTCATACCAACAGAAGTATCAAGATCTTGGTAACACACCATGCTTACTGGGTAAGTCTCACTAATACTTCCTTATATAACCCAGACAGTCTGTTAAACTGTACACATGATATGTCATACCAACAGAAGTATCAAGATCTGGGTAACACACCATGCTTACTGGGTAAGTCTCACCAATACATCCAAATATAACCCAGACAGTCTGTTAAACTGTACACATGATATGTCATACCAACAGAAGTATCAAGATCTTGGTAACACACCATGCTTACTGGGTAAATCTGACCAATACTCCCAAATATAACCCAGACAGTCTTTTAAACTGTACACATGATATGTCATACCAACAGAAGTATCAAGATCTTGGTAACACACGATGCTTACTGGGTAAATCTGACCAATACTCCCAAATATAACCCAGACAGTCTTTTAAACTGTGCACATGATATGTCATACCAACAGAAGTATCAAGATCTGGGTAACACACCATGCTTACTGGGTAAGTCTCACCAATACATCCAAATATAACCCAGACAGTCTGTTAAACTGTACACGTGATATGTCATACCAACAGAAGTATCAAGATCTTGGTAACACACCATGCTTACTGGGTAAATCTGACCAATACTCCCAAATATAACCCTGACAGTCTTTTAAACTGTACCCATGATATGTCATACCAACAGAAGTATCAAGATCTGGGTAACACACCATGCTTACTGGGTAAGTCTCACCAATACTCCCTTATATAACCCAGACAGTCTGTTAAACTGTACACATGATATGTCATACCAACAGACATGACAGAAGTATCAAGATCTTGGTTACACACCATGCTTACTGGGTAAGTCTCACCAATACTCCCTTATATAACCCAGACAGTCTGTTAAACTGTACACATGATATGTCATACCAACAGAAGTATCAAGATCTGGGTAACACACCATGCTTACTGGGTTAGTCTCACCAATACTCCCTTATATAACCCAGACAGTCTGTTAAACTGTACACATGATATGTCATACCAACAGAAGTATCAAGATCTTGGTAACACACGATGCTTACTGGGTAAATCTGACCAATACTCCCAAATATAACCCTGACAGTCTTTTAAACTGTACACATGATATGTCATACCAACAGAAGTATCAAGATCTGGGTAACACACCATGCTTACTGGGTTAGTCTCACCAATACATCCAAATATAACCCAGACAGTCTGTTAAACTGGACACATGATATGTCATACCAACAGAAGTATCAAGATCTTGGTAACACACCATGCTTACTGGGTAAATCTGACCAATACTTCCTTATATAACCCAGACAGTCTGTTAAACTGTACACATGATATGTCATACCAACAGAAGTATCAAGATCTGGGTAACACATCATGCTTACTGGGTAAGCCTGACCAATACTCCCTTATAAACCAGACAGTCTAATAAACTGTACACATGATATGTCATACCAACAGAAGTATCAAGATCTGGGTAACACACCATGCTTACTGGGTAAGTCTCACCAATACATCCAAATATAACCCAGACAGTCTGTTAAACTGTACACATGATATGTCATACCAACAGAAGTATCAAGATCTGGGTAACACACCAAGCTTACTTGGTAAGTCTCACCAATACTCCCTTATATAACCCAGACAGTCTGTTAAACTGTACACATGATATGTCATACCAACATAAGTATCAAGATCTGGGTAACACACCATGCTTACTGGGTAAGTCTGACCAATACTCCCTTATATAAACTAGACAGTCTGTTAAACTGTACACATGATATGTCATACCAACAGAAGTATCAAGATCTTGGTAACACACCATGCTTACTGGGTAAGTCTCACTAATACTTCCTTATATAACCCAGACAGTCTGTTAAACTGTACACATGATATGTCATACCAACAGAAGTATCAAGATCTTGGTAACACACCATGCTTACTGGGTAAGTCTCACCAATACTCCCAAATATAACCCAGACAGTCTGTTAAACTGTACACATGATATGTCATACCAACAGAAGTATCAAGATCTGGGTAACACACCATGCTTACTGGGTAAGTCTCACCAATACACCCAAAATATAACCCAGACAGTCTGTTAAACTGTACACATGATATGTCATACCAACAGAAGTATCAAGATCTGGGTAACACACCATGCTTACTGGGTAAGTCTGACCAATACTCCCAAATATAACCCAGACAGTCTTTTAAACTGTACACATGATATGTCATACCAACAGAAGTATCAAGATCTGGGTAACACACCATGCTTATTGGGTAAGTCTCACCAATACTCCCAAATATAACCCAGACAGTCTGTTAAACTGTACACATGATATGTCATACCAACAGAAGTATCAAGTTCTGGGTAACACACCATGCTTTCTGGGTAAGTCTCACCAAAACTCCCAAATATAACCCAGACAGTCTTTTAAACTGTACACATGATTTGTCATACCAACAGAAGTATCAAGATCTTGGTAACACACCATGCTTACTGGGTAAGTCTGACCAATACTCCCTTATATAACCCAGACAGTCTGTTAAACTGTACACATGATATGTCATACCAACAGAAGTATCAAAATCTGGGTAACACACCATGTTTACTGGGTAAGTCTCCACAATAAGCTTTGTTGGTCTTATTTTAGGCCAACTTAAAAAATGTGTTTTCATTTTGCTACTGAACTGTTAAAACTGTGTTGGTTGGAAAGATAATTTCAGGAGTTCTGAATTGCTGAATCATTCTAGATGAACTTTACCCAAGAAAGATCCAAATGATTGTAAAAATTGCCAAATTCATCATCTGAAAATTTAGTTAAAATATAATTTTATAACTTTTTTTCTTTTTTAAAACATTTTGACTTGGCTGTACATGTTGATACTATATGATATCATCTTAGTCAAATTTTCAGAATTACATTATACAATGTACATATAAAATATAGCATTGCTGTATTCAAAGCACTGATAAATATTCACCTGCAGAACAATATGTAGTCATTTCTATAAATTTAAAGAGCAGGTCAGTCAGTAAATCATGTTAAGTAATGTAGCTTATTTTTCAAAGAAGGTGTTTGAATAGTAATTTGGATTAATTATTATTCATGGGATGTTTAATTTTGTGGATATAGGTGAACAAAAAATGTTCAACACTATAATAAATTTCTACCAGCTTGTATGCAGAATTTTCTAAAAAAAACAAATCATGAAATGAAGTATCCACAAAAATACAAATTTTTCCTCAATTAACGAAAATTAATATCCACAAAAATAAATTCATTGAGGTTGAGTTCTCACAAAACATGTTTAATCCCACCGCATTTTTGCGCCTGTCCCAAGTCAGGAGCCTCTGGCCTTTGTTAGTCTTGTATGTTTTTAAATTTTTGTTCATTTATATGTTTTGGAGTTTAGTGTGACGTCCATTTTCATTGAACTACTGTGGATTCATTATTATTTGTTGGATACCAATTTTCGTGGATTTCGTGGGTATCGGTGAACCACGAAATTAAAAGATCAACGAATGACAAATTTTCTAAAGGCTTGTATGAAGACATCGTCAAAACCACGAAATTAAATATCCACGAACACGCAAGTTTTCCTTCATCCACGAAAATTGGTACCCACGAAAATAAATGAATCCACAGTAGTACACATTTTTGTTTAGGGACCAGCTGAAGCCCGTCTCCAGATGCAGGATTTTCTCGCTGTGTTGAAGACCCATTGGTGGCCTTCGGCTGTTTTCTGCTCTCCGGTCAGGTTGTTATCTCTTTGACACATTCTCCGTTATCATTCTTAATTTTATCATCAACAGTTATATTTTTTGTATTTCAGATCCTTCAATAATGAAAGAGAATCCAACCATGTTTGGAAATAGTAAAGAAAATATAACTATACTGAAGAAAAAACCTATTCTAACAGTGTTTGAAAATTATGTAAGTGCAAGTTATGAAGATTACTAATTTAAAAAATCCTTTCATGTGAGCATTGTTTCATTTAAACAAAGTGAATGAAAAGAAGTATGTTAAAATTGTTAAATATTTGGCACAAATAATACGCATGTGTCAAAGGAAAAGTTGCTATTCTTCGTTGTGTCTTCTGATAGAAGGGTTTATTAAAGAACTATATGATCACATCTAACCACAAAATCAACAGACTCTTTGATATCACATAAGTGCTACCCTTTAATATTCTTGAATTAGTCTACAGCAAAATCAATGTTCCCTCTGATAACCTAAAACAGTACTGTCTAATATCCATTGGTAATAGATACATATATTTGATTGAACATATATATATGGATGAATAGTCCATTAATTACAGTAGAATCAAAATGGGACAGGATTAAAATTGCATGAATTAGAATGTACACTTCAAATACCAATTGTTATATTTATATGCGGCATTTTCTTAAAGGTTGTAAATTAATCTCTCATATTTGATTAAGTTGATCAACAATTGCAGCAATAAATGGAAGCCATAATATTTAAACTCACAGTGTACAAGTTTAGTTTTGCAAGGTTTTAAATATAGTTATGAAATTCAAGAAATGAATTGTGGTATAAAAGTCTAAAAGATACAAATATATTTTTTATAGACTTCTATATCTTGTACCACAACTTATTAAGACTTTATAAAGTAAACATAAAAGAACATAGAATATTCAACTTTGAAAAATGGCAACCTTGACAAAAGTTTTTAGGATATTCTTATCTTTTTTATGCCCTTGCGGCTATACATGTCTAGGTATGGACTATATACTTCCTGCAATTGGTTTCCTTTCTCTAACTTTAGTTTGTCTCAATCAAATGTTATGAAACATATACACAATGCTTATTACCAACAAACACAGATCAAGTTCATCATTCTTAATATAAGTAATGTACCTTCATAAATGGAAAAATTGATGAATTTGCTGTTTCCGCACTCTAACTTAACTTTGCCTCAACCAAACTTTGGAAACTTATACACAATGCTTATTATGTTATAGATAATGCATATTTTAAGGTTTTTCTTGTTGAAGAATACACCTAGGGGTGTCAGGATTGATCAAATGAAAGACCAACCTTAGGGAGGTCTTTCGTTGGGTAATCCTGACACCCTGAGGTGTGTTCTATGACAAGAAAAACCTTAAAATATGCATTATCTGACTTATATACCGTCAAAAAAATATTATTTTCTACAAAGATTTGCAGAATCAGCATCCTATTTTACCGACCACACTAAAGTGGGATATTCCTTTCTAATGCATTCAGGTTTTAATACGCCCTACTGCTCATTTAGAATGTGAAATAAAACTAACTAATTAATCTAGATATAAATGTTAGAAATCATTATCCAGACATCATAACAATATTACTGTAACTGCATGAAGTAAGACACAAATGAATTGCTACCACTCAATAATGACCGGTGTATGAAAAATACAAGTCACTTTGTAAGTAATTTATTGTACTCATTTAGTTTATGGAAGGGGTGCTATGTTGTTATATATATTGGTATGATGTTGGTGTTGTCGTCGTCGTCCGAAGACACATTGGTTTTCGCACTCTAACTTTAGTTTAAGAGAATGGATCTCTATGAAATTTTACCACAAGGTTCAATACCACAAAAGGAAGGTTGGGATTGATTTTGGGGGTTATGGTAACAACAGTTACGGAATTAGGGGCCAAAAAGGGGCCAAAAATAAGCAGTTTTGTAACTTCCAGACATAACTTGTGTGTTAGTGTATGGATCTCTCTGATATTGTACCACAAAGTTCCATATCACAAAGGGAATGCTGGGATTGATTTTGGGGGTAATTGCCTCAAAATTTTAGGAATTAGGGGCCAAAAAAGAGGCAAAAAACAAGCATTTTTCTAGTTTCATGACAATAACTTGTGTGTAAGTGTATGGATCTTTCTGAAATTGTACTACAAGGTTCCATATCACAAAGGGAAAGCTGGAATTGAGTTTGGGGGTAATTGACCAAAATGTTTAGGAATAAGGGGCCAAAAAGGGGCTAAAAATAAGCATTTTTCTAGTTTCCAGACAATAACTTGTGTTCAAGTGTATGAATCTCTCTGAAATTGTACTGCAAGGTACCATACCACAAAGGGAAGGCTGGGATTGATTTTGGGGGTAATTGCCTCAAATTTTTTGGAATTAGGTGCCAAAAAGGGGCAAAAAACAAGCATTTTTCTAGTTTCAGGACAATAACTTGTGTGTTAGTGTATGGATCTTTATGAAATTGTACTATAATGTTCCATATCACAAAGGGAAAGCTGGGATTGAGTTTGGGGGTAATTGCTCTAAACGATTAGGAATTTGGGGCCAAAAAAAACAAGCATTTTTCTAGTTTCCAGACAATAACTTGTATTCAAGTGTATAGATCTCTCTGAAATTGTACTGCAAGGTACCATACCACAGAGGGAAGGCTGGGATTGAGTTTGGGGGTGATGAACCATAAGGGGGTTAAACAAATTTCGGGGGGGGGGGATTTTTTTTCCCTTTTTTTCCTTTAAAATTTTCCATTTTAAATTGGTTATTTCTGATTTATATATAAAAGCAAATAATAATGATATGGTTGAATAGGTAAATTAAACATTCATTCTGTGTCAGAAACCTATGCTTTGTCAAATATTTAATCACAATCCAAATTCAGTGCTGTATCAAGCTTGAATGTTGTGTCCATACTTGCCCCAACTGTTCAGGGTTCGACCTCTGCGGTCGTATCAAGCTGCGCTCAGTGGAGCATTTTATTCTATTTGTAATGATATTATTATTGCAGAAAAACTGATAATTTTTACAACAATTTTAATCAAATCTAATGAAATATTCAGAATAATTTTCTTTTGAATGGCAATACATTTTTTTTAAACAAATGGTCAGGATTTAATTCTTTACCCTCCCCCCTCTCCACCCAACCCCATTGTGAGGTAAGTGGATGTTATTCAATAGAATATAAGAATATTTAATTAGTTGATCATTTGATAGAGTAAAAGGTATACATAAATGTAAAAAAAGTTAAGAACTGACACGAAGAGAGCAAGAAATCGGGATACATGTACATGTAACACGAAAACAAATATCAATACAAGTAGGTCACAGTATGATTTCATATTCAGTGTGAATCAATAAGATTTTCAAAATCTTACATATGAATGTGTTAAATCTGGCTTTTTTAAAAAGTGTTATGGAAAGTTTTACATGTACATTAAAATTCATCTCACATATATGATAATGTCCCTATATTGTAGTGATAAATTAACAAAACTTCACATTATTTGTATCAAAAGTTAAAATGCCGGTCAATGACATTTTTTTTTTAAACCTATCAAAGATTGAACTTTAAAAATTAATTCCCTAATTGGCAACAACAAACTATCAAACGAATTAAATTTTGAAGTAAATTATAGTTTGCATTTTTATCAAGGTAAATAATGACCTCACACAGGTCATTATTTTATGCCTTGAAGCATATTTCATTGAAACATGGTATCGTCCGGGTTGATTCTTCGAAAGAATGACCTATTGTTCTGAAAGAAAATAACTCCATATAGGACAGTCTGAGGTATAAAAGACCAGACACAGATCAAGTTTGAATTTAGGTGGCGTCTTTTTCTCCATTCTCGAGTTACTCCTTTACTGTTTATTATTGACCAAGGAGAGCACTCAAACCCTCCTGCAATCTCTAATGACAACATACAGAAACAAATGTCATTAAGTTTTAAAGAAAACAAAATGATAATAGGTTTGAATTAGTACATTGCCTCTTTCATATTTACATGTAAGGGCTTGTGTGTCCCATGGACACATTTTTCTTTTATTTATAACTTTATTCAAATATGTATTGCATGAATATTATTTTATATCACACAAAAGAAAAGACAGTTGTGGAATTGAATTATCATCTTCATTTATACTTAATGCAATCAAAAATTAAATTGTGAATGATATGTTATATTGTGGATTCATTATTATTCGTTGGATACCAATTTTCGTGGATTTCGAGGGTAAAGGTGAACCACGAAATTAAATGTTCAACGAATAACAACTTTTTCATAGGCTTGTATGCAGACTTCGTCAAAACCATGAAATTTAATATCAGCGAACATGCAAGTTTTCTTTAATCCACGAAAATTGGTACCCACAAAAATAAATGAATCCACAGTACTTTGACCACTACAATGCGGTTACATCAATGTCTTTAAAACTGAAATATTCTATTTTAAAACGAAACTATAACTGATAGATTTAAAAAAGGTTATGTGATGGATATTAATGTTTGTTTCTAATTGATAACCCTGTTTTGAATTTCAGTCACCCAAAGAAATGACGAGAGCCCAGAGAATGGCAGCAGCAATAACAGCCACTTTTGTCAGTCCACTATCACAGGTAATACTATAGTTATTGCAAATTTTCTTAAACTATGAACATGATGTAGGTGGGAAATAGGAAGGAATAATTTAAACAAGATAATAATCCTGTATGAAATATTACATGATAAATACTACTAAAATGATGTTCAGTGATTATATGTTCAAAGAATAGAAATACTCAATTTTTATACCCCCCGCCATGACTGAAGGGGGCATTAAGTGTTACCCTTGTCCGTCCATATGTCCATCCCAAAATTGGTTTCCGTTCTCTAACTTTTAGTTTCCCTCAACCAAATGTTATGAAACTTATACAACATGCTTTTTTATTATCATAAAAAACAGATCAAGTTCAATTTTGGGTGGCGTCACTTTTACCGTTCTTGAGTTATGCCCCTTTATAACATGTGCAAGCGGAGGCATCATCTGTGTCCCATGGACATATTCTCCATTTTTTTCTAAGTTATTATAGGTATTATGGAGACTATGTAAGTTATTGAAGTGATAAAAAAACATAATTAATACTTATTCTTTTATTTTATTTTTACAGTATCTCCCAGAAAGTAGAGATGACAAACATCAGCAGGTAGGACATAAAGTCAGTTACATAGAAATCTTTAATGATATATCAACGATAATTCATCAACACTACCCCTATTGTAAAGTATAATTGCTACGTCAACTGAGTGACATTGTAATCATTATGACCTTAATTTTTGGCTAGAGTGACTTTGTTAAGGTCTTTTTTATACAACCGCAAACATTTTTGCAGTCGTATATTGGTATGACATTGGCGTCGTCGTCCCAAGACACATTGGTTTTCGCACAATAACTTTAGTTTAAGTGAATGGATCTTTATGAAATTTTACCATAAGGTTCAATACCACCAAAGGAAGGTTGGGATTGATTTTGGGGGTTATGGTAAAAACAGTTAAGGAATTAGTGGCCAAAAATAAGCATTTTTCTAGTTTCCAAACAATAACTTGTGGAACGGTGTATGGATCTCTCTGAAATTATACCACAAGTTTCCATACCTCAAAGGGATGGTTAGGATTTGCTTTGGGGGGTTATGGCTCAAACCGTTTAGGAATTAGGGGCAAAAAAAAGGGGGAAAACAAGGGTGTCCTGGTTAATGGACAAATACCTTAGTACAAAACATAATTTAAAGCAGTGTAAGGGTGGTAATTCAAATACATCATTTGAATTACATCCCTTACACTGCTTTTAAATTATGTATAAAGTAATGGTTAATGAACAATTAAGACAATTTAAAAGCAGTGTAAGGGAGGTAATCCAAATACAATGTTTTGATTAACTCCCTTACACTGCTTTTAAATTATGTTTAAAGAAATGCATATTTACAAAGGAAGACCAGTAAAAATATCTGCAAATGTTGCATCTATTTTTTTTTTACGAAAAAATCCATATGAAAGATTTGACACCATATTTTAAATTCTATTATAAAATAGATTAAGTTATCACTATGGTAAATTTAAATGGGTAATTATGGTTGCAAACACCATTGGAAATTTGAATTGAGATTATGACCATATCTTGAGGGAAAGATTTTTTTTTGGGGGGGGGGGGGGGGGGGGGGGGGTCAATTTTTTCTCATTTCAGATTTCAGAAATTGAAAAAAAACATTCTTCAAATATTTTTTATGCAAAAAAAAAGTGTGTGTGTGGGTGGGGGGTTAATACGCAACAGCATATGGTATTGCAAAAAAGCAAAAAAGGTGGGGGGGGGGGTTAATTTTTTTTTTTAAATTTTGTGGGGGGAGGGGGGGTCAATTCGCAACAGCAAAGTTTATTACACAAAAGCAAAAAATTGAATATAAATTCAAATCATATAACCAATTCTAAGTTCTTTGACTATAGTTATTCTGTGTCAGAAACCTTTTATGTGTCAAATATTTAATTACAATCCAAATTCAGACCTGTATCAAGCGTGATTATTGCGTCCATTTTTGCCCCTACTGTTCAGGGTTGGACCTCTGTGGTCATATCCAGCTGCGCTTGGCGAAGCAACTTATTCTCAATTATATTAAGATATTTTGGACTTTTATTTAAAGGTCACTTTTCTTTGGTCCCAAGGATGACCTTTACAGACGGGTTGTACTGTATTTTAGTTATTTGTCTATCTGCTGTGCAACTCCTCAACCATTAACAGGACCTTTGCACCTCCATTTAAAAAAAGTTGCCGAAAGAAGAACTTATGAATGTCAACAATATTTTGTATTTTGACTGTTCCAGAAAAAGTTGTGAGGAGTTCTTTGAAGGCACTTGCATATAACGGTATAGATGATAGTTTAATTTAATGTTATTTTTAAGGAAATTTTGTTTATTTCTGACTGTAGGTGTTCAATAACTGGATGTTAATGAAACACACAGCAGTGAAGAGAAAAGAAACTGCACCTACTCCAGCGACATCTTCAGGTATGTATGAAAATTATCTGAAGTATTTCATGTGGAGTAATTTACTGAGGATTCATTAAAATTCGTGGAGAACTAATTGTGTGGATTTTGTGGGTAATGGTGAACCATCCAAGAGTTCAATGAAATTGAAATTTTCTATAGGTAATATCCAGAAACTGTTCAAAACATAAAATCAAGTAACCATGACAATTATTATTTACGAAAATAAATGAATCACAGTATTGTTCTGTAATTAGACTTTGGAAAACTTTTATTTATTCCTGAATAAGAATATTTAACCACATTGAAATCACATCAAAATAAAACCATGTACAAATAAAAAATCACTTCTATGCAATAATCATTGAAAATCTATGTTTAAATCAAGAATTCCTCTTAAATTTTAACTTATAAAAGGAAGCGTTCAATATATTATTCACGACTAATTATAAAACATTCTAATATGACGTGCTTCTTTCGCTTTGTAAACAACACTGTGATAAAATTCTCGATATATCTATACTTAGCGCAGACTCAGAGATGTACATAATAATGGCTGTTACAATATACATCCAATGTAAATCCACATGTATCGTAACCTATGTGCAAACGCTATGCCAATTTCCCCGTGTAAAAAATTGCAATTGAAAAAAAACTACACAACCTTGCTTCTTATTCTGTTGCATAAGAAATAAGAACTAATGCATTAGAGCTAGGAAAAATGTACAAAATCAAAATAAAATAAAATTCTGAGAGATTCCATTAATGTTTTTGGCGCATTAAAGTCATTTCAAAACATGACGTCATACGAATGAAAAGCTGAAGGTTTTTCGGTTGCGTTAACCCTCCAAATTCAAATTCTGATAATATTGCATTTTTAATGGAGTTTTGAGGTAGGTGTTGTTATGTTTTCTATCCTATTGCATTATTCGCACATTTACTGATTTCAGCAAGTCAACAAATTTTATCATTAACGCTTACGCTCAGGATAAATTTTGAATATCACGGCCCAGGCCATGTGCAAATTTCCAAAAAATCTATGGCTTCCATGAATTATTTCTTAAACAAAAATATAAACATAGCAGGCAGCAACAAAGACAAGAGCTTATTTCATCAGATCGGATTGAAGCCAAAAAAAACAACTAACCAAAAGATAACAGACAAAGTATTGATATAGGAGTACATCTTCTCGCACTTTCTGATAGGTACAACATGTAATTCATAACCAATTACAACTCGTAAATAAATCAAGTTTTCAGAGACTAAAATTTATTTTTATCAAGACTTGATAATCAAAATCCAACAAGAGAACAAATTTGCTACCATATATAGTACATCAAAAATGCTACCACACCACACTTATTATTTAGTAAAATAAAATGTATGAATGCTGAATTTTCATGGTGTAGATATTTTTAATTCTTACCATGATGTTTAATTCTTCATCTTTAGGACCACCTCCAGCTAAGCGACAAAAGGTTGAAGTAAAAGATACAGGAGATTTGTTACAACCATTTGGAAAGGTTTGTATGTAAAATGTAAAATTATGCATTTACATAAACAGACTTTAATATAAATAAACAATTTGACATTTGTCAACAGCATATGTTTTTTTTTAAATAGTTTATTGATGATATGTTAATGAGAAACGAATATATCTTGCTTTGAACTAGACTGATATCCTGAGTCAATGAAGATGCATCAAGTTTAAATTCGGGTTTGACCCAGCAGGAGATCGAACCCACCACACCACACACTCTAGGCGAGCATGAGACAACTGATGCAGCAAATGTTTTTTTTGTTAAGCATTAACAGGATTGATATGGTTTCATTATACTTATCATAGAACTAAAAAACACTTGTTTATTGTCTTACTACTTGATTTCTTATATGTAAAGTTTGAAACTATCTCAAAAACACTAATCACAATACTTCGCATCTATGACATATTTCTATAAAATAGATGCTTGGAAATAATAAAAAGGGGCAGTGGTGGATATCTGTCATGCTCTGTAGACAGCTATAGTTCTTTCCATATTGAAGCCCAAAACTCTAGTTTTTGTCTCGCCTTGACAGAGTTAAAAAGCGAGACATAGGTATGCTGTTTCCGGCGTCGGCGACAGCGGCAGCAGCGTCAACAATGTATTAGTTTGTGATTAGGTCTAGTTTATGGTGAACCACTAGTGGTAGGTCAATGATATTTGGTATGCAGTAGTATTAGCTTACGCACATCTCATTTCCATGGAGATTATTTGGCCCTGCCCCCTCAGTCATTTTTATTGACTTTGAAACTTTGGCTTAGTTTAAATGTATTAGTTTATGATTAGATCAGTTTATTGGGAACCACTAGTGGTAGGTCAATGATATTTGGTATTCAGTTGTATAAGCATTGGCACATCTCATTTTCATGGAGATTATTTGGCCACACCCCTTCAGTCATGGTCTATTGACTTTGAAACTTTTCCTTAGTTTACATGTATTAGTTTGTGATTAGATCAGTTTAAGATGAACTGCTAATGTTTAGTCAATGATGTTTGATATGTAAATGTATTGGCATTTGCAAGTCTTGTTTCCATGGAGATTATATAGCCCCGCCCCCTCACCATGGTTCATTGACTTTGAAACTTTTACATAGTTTATAGGTTAGTGTTTGTGTTTAGGTTTGTTTAAAGGGAATGACTGTTAGTGGTAGGTCAATGGTATTTGGTATGCAGTTGTATTAGCATTGGTTCATCTCATTTCCATGAAGATTGTTTAGCTGTGTACCTTCAGTCATGGTTCATTGACTTTGAATATTTACATAACTTACATGTAAAGTATTGCTATTTTAATTTCAACATTTGCATTATCAAGATTACAAAAAAGGTGAGACATATCTCTGTGTTAACAGTTTATTATATATTTTGAAGCTCAAAAGTGGTCATGGAAGAATACTTGGTAAAGATACAGATACTGAGACAAGCAGAAAGAGGAAAAAGAAGAGGAAAATGGAAGAAGAAGGAGCATTAGAATTAGAGGAGGAGGAGGAGCCTGCAGAAGAATTTACACCATATGATTACAGCAAAGTTAATTTGAATATATTTGAAGGTTTGGACTTTCACATGTATTTCATATTACATTTTAAATTTTGAAAATCAAGCCTTGATGATTTTATTGAATATGGATTTAGTGGTGAACTGACCACCAAAAAAATTATTGAATATTCAACAATTTCTTCAGAACCATATTGAATCAACATATCTCAACCTAAGAATTTGCAGTACTTTGACAGTGTGACAGTAATGCAAGATAGTATATATACACAGCATCTAGTTTTTTTTAGCATGAAATTTAAATTTTGTAGTGAAAGTATATATGAACAAAACTATTTATGGAAGAATACTTGATAAAGAAACATATATAGTCAATGATGGAAATAATCTCGGACGTTGTTTTATCGGCAATTTGTACATTTTCCCTTGGATCTTTCTGCCTAATATTTTCTAGATCATGGACAGGACTTGATACTCATATTAGGCAATGACGTCATGTATCAGTGCAGCAACGTCACATGTTCATGTCCATCTGTGTCAATTTATCAATGAAATGCACGCGACTTCATTCATACAACCAAACACAACTATCACAACTTTTTGTATGTGTAAAAATAGTTTTACTAACTATTTCATTTTAATTCATATTCTTAGCCAAAAAAAAACATATAGTTAAGACAAATTGCTGATAAAAAGAATAACGGCATTTTGTTTCTTGATACCGACTTCATCAGCTCGAATATCAGCTTGTCTTGATATTCTTGCAATAAAATTGGTATCAAAAACAAAAATGCCATTTTTCTATATTTATTAGTCCAATTTTGGTGATAAATTAGAAAAGAAATAGTTTTATGATTAGCGTTAAAGATTAATTAGAACTTTAATAATCTGTTAAATAGCTGAAATGGATAAATATTAATTAGAATAAAAAAGAAAAGCAGAAAATCAGCAATATCATAGAACAATAAATGACATATAGTTTTGGGACTACTTTCATGTCTAGTTTCACTGTAAAGTCAGAAAATTTTGTGATATTTTTATTATTTAATATGAAAAGTGAGAATAGGTGCTGCCAAAAGAAAAAATTGTATTTAAATTTTCAAAGTATTGATCACAATAATTAAACATGCATTTGTGTTGATTGTTGAACAATCGGAAAAATAAATTCTCGCGATAATTTCTCTATAGATATAAGAAGAAATGCAAACTGCTAATCCTTGTAAAGTCAATGTGTTATTCCTTTTTTAACTGTAAAAAGGTATATAACATTCACATCAAGCTATTAAGTTTCTTGCCATATCGACTGTTTATGTGTAAATTACTGGCTACATTCCAAGCATATAACTGAATATTCTCTTTATTTCACTGTAGGAGGGACCTCTAAAGGAGAGAAGAAGAAGGTCTTTGATCCAAATGCAGGAATGAGGAAGAGAGGAAGAGGTAGCAAGGTAAGACTCTTCATAAAAATACATGTATCTTACAGCTGTCTGTTCAAAAACATTAGGAGATTGCTATACAAGTTCATAAATACAATATTGACCTAACAGTCAGACTATTTTGAAAAAATATGTTATGTTCTTGAGGGGTATTTGCAAAGAAATACCAGTTGAGAGATGCCAAACATTTTCTGATCCACTATGCTAGGCAAAGGAATTTTTTTTCTCAAGACTGTTACTATCCCAAGATACCCCCCTGAACATGACATATTTGATTGATTATACGGAATATTGGTAGAGGTGGTTAGTTAAGCATTGAAAATTTAATTCCATTATTCTTACGCATTAAGACCTAATCAAAACCAAACACATAGTAAAAAGCAGCGAATCTAGGGTGAAAAAGGCATAACTGTTTTGACAAATACCAGAACAGAGAGTGTAAAAAAGACATACACTATTGTTTCAGGTAGGGTGAAGGTTGGTGCCTATTAAAACATTTACACCCACTGCATTTGTTTGAACCTGTCCTAAGTCAGGAATCTGATGTTCAGTGGTTGTCGTTTGTTGATGTGGTTCATAAGTGTTTCTTGTTTCTCGTTTTATATATAGATTAGACCGTTGGTTTTCCTGTTTGGATAGTTTTACACTAGGCATTTTTGGGGCCCTTTATAGCTTGCTGTTCGGTGTGAGGCAAGGCTCCGTGTTGAAGGCCGTACTTTGACCTATAATGTTTTACTTTTACAAAATGTGACTTGGATGCAGAGCTGTCTCATTGGCACTCATACCACATCTTCTTATGTCTATAAACTTTTGCAAATATCCCCAGCAATGGTGAATATGATCAAATTTCATACCATGAGAGAAAATGCAAGAAAATTACACTAGATATAAGCTGTCTTTATGCCACAGAAAACCTCTGAATCTTTACTGATCATGATTTGATTAAAAGGTCAACCACAAATATACAAAATGTTTAGTAGACATGATAGATTCTGCTGTAATGTACATTTAAGGTTTTTATCTTAAATGAACAACATGCTAATTTGAGCACTTACAACATAGTGTGTAGGAGATCTATCTCTCATCAATTTGATAAACTATTTTTGGTGTACAAATAAAGATGTATATATCTCATCAAATTCACAAATATTAATTTTTGTGTACAAATAAAGATATAGGATAAGGGGTAAGTTAAAGTAGATGTGTTGAAATTAAAATTCTAAATGATAAGTGTAGAAAGTCTTGTAACAACAACACTGGAGAGACTGCTGCAGAAAATTTATTGAATGATCGACATGTTTCGGTGCCTAGGGCACCGTCATCAGGATACAAATATTACAGAAAGATTAGCTAAGGTACAAAATCGGGTTGTATAAATACAACATCATAGTAAGGCTACATTCTTGAAAATGAAAGTGAAAGTAAAGTAAGTATTTAGATAGAGAAAATATATAAATAGATTGTCAATATGAAAATGAAAGTAAAATAAAATTGTTCAAATCAATAGTCTTTGTTAATTATGCCTGGTAATTATTTGCTGAAAATTTTGTAAATAGAGTGTACAAATACATGTCTATCCCATAACTGTTCTGGTAATTCATCTAAACAAATAGTTTCGTCGCTGCTGCTGGTAGTGAGATCAATAAGATTATCTTCTGTTAAGTCCATAACGTAACCGTATTCGTTGGTTATGTAGTTAGGTGTTGATTGAGGTGTATCGGTGCACGAAGTGTCAGATTCGGAGAGATATAGGTCTTGTTCTAGGATGTTGATAGGTGATCTTTGTAGTCCTGATGTGGAGGATGCTTGGTTGTCATAAGGTGAATTATTGCCTGGCACTATTTTGAATGTAGGTGTTCTGCCATTCCAATTTTTCTTTTGTAGGGCCTCAAATGGTGGCCTCCATTTTTGCACGGGTTTTGCCATTTCTCTTGGTTCATGCTTAAAGCTTATGTAATCTGCTATTGCTTTTTCCGGGTGTTTGGTTTTTAGGTGGGTGATAGCATTCGATTTCCTGGTGAATGTTGCTGTACAGTGTTTGCATTCAAACATGGTAGACACTGGTCCATGAATTTCTTTGTGATGACGTCTGAGTGTTGAAATGCTGCAAAATGTTTTTGGGCACTTCTGGCATTTGAATCTTGGTGTGAATTTACCCTTTGTTTCTTTTCTCTTGTAACCATTGTGACCATCCAATAAGAACGACGTCACCATCATAGGCATAACTACTACAGCACAAAACATAAACGTCAGACTTCGTACAGAAGAAGCTCTGATTTATAGATTTGGTAGCACCGAACCGTGGGGACTCAATAAAAGATATGGCTAACACCAAAATAACCAAGAGAAAAAAAACAACGGGTAAATTCACACCAAGATTCAAATGCCAGAAGTGCCCAAAAACATTTTGCAGCATTTCAACACTCAGACGTCATCACTAAGAAATCATGGACCAGTGTCTACCATGTTTGAATGCAAACACTGTACAGCAACATTCACCAGGAAATCGAACGCTATCACCAACCTAAAAACCAAACATCCAGAAAAAGCAATAGCAGATTACATAAGCTTTAAGCATGAACCAAGAGAAATGGCAAAACCCGTGCAAAAATGGAGGCCACCATTTGAGGCCCTACAAAAGAAAAATTGGAATGGCAGAACACCTACATTCAAAATAGTGCCAGGCAATAATTCACCTTATGACAACCAAGCATCCTCCACATCAGGACTACAAAGATCACCTATCAACATCCTAGAACAAGACCTATATCTCTCCGAATCTGACACTTCGTGCACCGATACACCTCAATCAACACCTAACTACATAACCAACGAATACGGTTACGTTATGGACTTAACAGAAGATAATCTTATTGATCTCACTACCAGCAGCAGTGACGAAACTATTTGTCTAGATGAATTACCAGAACAGTTATGGGATAGACATGTATTTGTACACTCTATTTACAACATTTTCAGCAAATAATAACCAGGCATAATTAACAAAGACTATTGATTTGAACAATTTTATTTTACTTTCATTTTCATATTGACAATCTATTTATATATTTTCTCTATCTAAATACTTACTTTACTTTCACTTTCATTTTCAAGAATGTAGCCTTACTATGACGTTGTATTTATACCACCCGATTTTGTATCTTAGCTAATCTTTCTGTAATATTTGTATCCTGATGACGGTGCCCTAGGCACCGAAACATGTCGATCATTCAATAAATTTTCTGCAGCAGTCTCTCCAGTGTTGTTGTTACAAGACTTTCTACATTTTATGTGTTTTATCGTAACGACCCTGCATACCCGAGGTATCCACTTCAGGGACTCTAACTTACTACAGATTCACCAGGCGTTGGTTCACTCTTGTGTTTAATCTAAATGATAAGATTATTAAATGCATTGATATGTGCTAATTGTGATTTGTTTGTGTATTTTTAGGTTTATAAGCCACAGTTTTCAACAGCTAAATCATCGAAGAGTTCAACGTTTGGAAAAATGGACAAATCTCAAAAGACACAAATATGGCCAAAATAAAATATCAAACTTTGTAGATCTGCCTTTAGTTACATGTACTTCTTTTGAGTTTAGGGGTAATTTGATTCCCTTGTGATACAATTCTTGCAGGATCCTAAACAAACAAAAATGACCTTTAACATGCAAAATGTCCATAACAATCCTTTTAAGTTTTGTGATGTTATCATAAGACAGAAAATGTATGACTATCAGGATTCTGAAACACATGATACTTTTTGTACTCTGAGATTTAACAATTTCTCTTGTCAAAGTTTTCAGAAGTTATTGCGATTGTTGAACACAAATTCAAGTTCAATTATTGCGATTTTAGGAAAAGCTTCAAACACACATAATGCTATCAAAATTTGAAATGCAAAAATACACTTTTTTCGTCGCAATTTTCACAATAATAAAAACATCGCTAAAATTTCTCAAATCACAGTAACTTCTGTGACATCCAGTAATAGCTGACAAATTATTAAGTAGTATTTGTAAAAAGGTAACTGTATCTCTGGTAATAGGCCACTTCACGGTTATTTCGGCCATATTGAATAGGGGCAGATTTTTTGGATAGAGGTGGAAATAGTATGAAAGTACAGGAAATCCTATGCATGTTTCCAAGCAACTGTTCTGTTTTAATGATGTTTTCCTGTATTTTTTAAACCATTTTTACCTCCATTATGAAAATCAGCCCACTATTCAACATGGCTGCACTAACCATGAAGGGGCCTATTGCATCTAATATGTTGTAATGTCAGAAGTGAAAATCAACAATAACAAATAATGGGATTTCTCAGACCATTATTTCTCATATAAGTAATAAGTTTGATGGATGTCTGTCTGTCTGTTTATGGCCAAATAAAAATATATGTGTGGTACAAGTTACCCGACCGACCCTAGTTTAATCCCGTGGCCCTAGAACATTTTTTATACGACCGCAAAAATTAAAAATTTTTTGGTCGTATATTGGTATGACGTTGGCGTCGTCGTCGTCTGGCGTTGTCCGGCGTCGTCCGAAGACACATTGGTTTTCGCACTCTAACTTTAGTTTAAGTGAATGGATCTCCATGAATTTTTACCATAAGGTTCAATACCACGAAAGGAAGGTTGGGATTGATTTTGGGGGTTATGGTACCAACAGTTAAGGAATTAGGGGCCAAAAAGGGGCCACAAATAAGCATTTTTGTAACTTCCAGACAATAACTTGTGTGTAAGTGTATGGATCTCTCTGACATTGTACCACAAGGTTCCATATCACAAAGGGAAGGCTGTAATTGATTTTGGGGGTAATTGCCTCAAAATTTTAGGAATTAGGGGCCAAAAAAGGGGCAAAAAACAAGCATTTTACTAGTTTCATGACAATAACTTGTGTGTAAGTGTTTGGATATTTCTGAAATTGTACTACAAGGTTCCATATCACAAAGGGAAAGCTGGAATTGAGTTTGGGGGTAATTGCCCGAAACGTTTAGGAATTGGGGGCCAAAAAGGGGCCAAAAATAAGCATTTTTCTAGTTTCCAGACAATAACTTGTGTTCAAGAGTATGGATCTCTCTGAAATTGTACTGCAAGGTACCATACCACAAAGGGAAGGCTGGGATTGAGTTTCGGGGTGATGAATCATAAGGGGGTTCAAAAAATTTGGGGGGGGGATTTTTTTTTTTCTTTTTTTTTCTTTTTTTCCTTTTTTTTTTCTTTTAAAATTTTCCATTTTAAGTTGGTTATTTCTGATTAATATTTAAAAGCAAATAATAATGATATGGTAGGAGATACACACCAAACAGGATGTGTAAATTATTATATAATAAGTATTGTGCAATAGCAAGGAATTTTCAATTGCACAGTATTGCACAATAGCAAGAAATCTTCAATTGCACAGTATTACGCAATAGCAAGAAATCTTCAATTGCACAGTATTGCGCAATAGCAAGAAATGTCCAATTGCACAATATTGCGCAATAGCAAGAAATTGTCAATTGTACAGTATTGCACAATAGCAAGAAATATTCAATTGCACAGTATTGTGCAAAAGAAGATACTTTGTATAAATGCTTATTTCTTGATCAATTTCAATGGGGTTTTATTCTTGAATTCTTGGGGTTCTTAAATATGCTGAATCTAACCGTGTATTTAGTTTTTGGATTTTGGGCCCCGTTTTTAAATTGGTCCACATTGAGGTCCAAAGGGTCCAAAATTTAACTTTGTTTGATTTCATCAAAAAATTGAATTATTGGGGTTCTTTGATATGCCGAATCTAACCGTGTATTGAGATTCTTAATTTTTGGTTCCGTTTTCAAATTGGTCTACATTAAGGTCCAAAGGGTCCAAAATTAAACTTAGTTTGATTTTAACAAAAATTGAATTTTTAGGGTTCTTAGATATGCTGAATCTAAACATGTATTTAGATTTTTGATTATGGGCCCAGTTTTCAAGTTGGTCCAAATCGGGGTCCAAAATTAAACTTCGTTTGATTTCAACAAAAATTGAATATATGGGGTTCTTTGATATGCTGAATCTAACCATGTATTTAGATTTTTGATTTTTGGGCCCCGTTATCAACTTTGTCCACATTGAGGTCAAAAGGGTCCAAAATTAAACTTTGTTTGATTTCATCAAAAATTTAATTCTTGGGGTTCTTTGATATGCTGAATCTAACTATGTATTTAGATTTTGGATATTGGACCATAATAGGTGAATGTCCAATTTAAAATTTTTAAGTTCTTAGACCACATTCATTCTGTGTCAGAAACCTATGCTGTGTCAAATATTTAATCACAATCCAAATTCAGAGCTGTATCAAGCTTGAATGTTGTGTCCATACTTGCCCCAACTGTTCAGGGTTCGACCTCTACGGTCGTATCAAGCTGCGCCCTGCGGAGCATTTTATTTCCATTTCTGAAAAATTAATTTTTAGCGATCCCATTTTGTGGATTGTGAATTTCAATAAATAATTTCACAGACTTCTGTCATCTGAATTTCCATTAGAAGTATCCACTACGGCTAAAAATGGAACAAATTCTTAACAGAATGCAACAAAATTAACTAAACATGTAACGTGTCTGTTTATTTTACAACCAAACCTATAGAAAATGACGAACTCTCAGTAGGGCGTGTATAACACCAGAATCGGACTCTGTGAACACAATTTTTTTTCTGGATTTTGTCAATCCAAAAAAAAATTTTAAAAATGAAAAATGCAGACCTACCCACCCTATTTTTTTTCAGGATGTAACTGGAACCAGACAAATATTTTTATTTGGCTGATGTCCTCAACAGTTTGAGGAAAACTGTTAAAGAAAAGTAACATTAGCCTGTGGTTTGAGTTGATGCGGTTTTATTTTTGTGAATCAAGTACCTGAAGTAATGATTAGAACAGGCAATTTAAGAAACAAAAAATATGAGCTAGAGGACACATGTCAAATGAAAACTTAATACTATTGGCATGATTTTATAGTATATTTAGCATTGATTTCTATTTAATTATAAACCTATGAAGATTTGTTCAGAATCCATGCTGATACTCTATGGATAATCAGTTTTTTGAAAGCGAAACATCAATAAAAAATAGGCATTCAGCATCCTAAGATAGAGTACCCACGTCAATTTATAACCTGACCGTTTTTGGTCTGTAGACAGACCTCCATCATAGGAAAACAGGAATTCACCGTTCTATAACTTCTGTGTTATTGCAATCCAAATGAAATTTTTCCACAGATTCAACTATTGGTCAATCAATTTAAACTTTGGTCAGTTCTATTGTCCCATTGAATAAATACAATAGCTATTGTTCTGGGTTCTGTCACTGGGACCTTTAAATTACTTTCAAGAGAAATCCATCACTCATTGATTAATTTACCTGAGTAAAAAATTATCTTCTAAAAGATGAAAATACATGTTTTACAGTCACAAAACTGCATGTGATGTTGTATATTTTCAATATCAATAATAAAGTTTCAATCTGTTGAATGTAGACAGTGATTCAAACATTAATAAAAGTTGATTTCTGACAAAATTTTCAACGTTCCTATTTAAATTTTTTTATGCCCTTGCCCTTGCGGAGGGGGCATTAAGTTTTACCCTTGTCCTTCTGTACGTACGTACATCCCAAAGTTGGTTTCCATTCGTTAACTTTAGTTTGCCTTTACCAAATGTTATGAAACTTATACACAATGCTTATTACCACAAAACACAGATCAAGTTTGAATTTTGGTGGCGCCACTTTAACCATTCTAGAGTTATGCCCCTTTACAAATGGAAAAATTGCTGAATTTTTTGTTTCCGCTCTCTAACTTTAGTTTGCCTCAACCAAATGTTATGAAATTTATACACAATGCTTATTATCACAATATACAGATCAAGTTTGAATTTTGGTGGTGTCACTTTAACCGTTCTAGAGTTATGCTCTTTACAAATGGAAAAATTGCTGAATTTTTCGTTTCCGTTCTCTATGTTTAGTTAGCCTCAACCAAAAGTTATGAAACTTATACACAATGGTTATTACCACAATTCACAGATCAAGTTTGAATTTTGGGGGCATCACTTTTACTGTTCTAGAGTTATGTCCCTTTACAAATGGAAAAATTGCTGAATTTTTCGTTTCTGTTATCTAACTTACACAATACTTATTACCACAAAACTCAGATCAAGTACAAATTTGGGTAGCATCACTTTTACCGTTCTTCAGTACTGTCCCGTTATAACTTTAAATGATATGCAAGTGGGGGCATCATCTGTGTCCCATGGACACATTCCCCATTTATTTTTTATTTTTTGTGTATGAGAAATAAAAACTGGAAAATGATGATGTTTAAATTAAGGCCTTCTTAAATGTGTTCTATAACTGTTAAAACAAAAACAAAAAAATGCAAATTTCAATATGAACAATGCTAAACATTTTGTCAGAAATCAATTTTTAATGATTAAATCAGTGTTTATATTGAACAGATTGAAAATATATTATTGATATTGAATACATACAAAATCACATGCAGTTTTGTGAGTGTAAAACATGTATTTTCATCTATTAAGAAGATAATTTTT